TTTCCAAGACTGGAGTGCTTCAAGTACGGACTTTGCATCTGTCGGCATTACCACAGACTGTGAGCCAAGATTAGTATTTAGCAGTTTTTCTGCTGCTATCTTGATAGGCTGGGTTTCTGCATCACAGTTATGGCAGTACTTTCTGGTTAGCACTGGACCTATCGATAGTACCATCTGGCAATTCTATGCACACTCCAGCACCACCATTTCTAACTGCATTTTGCACGGATGTATCTGTATAGACTCGGGCCCACTGTTCTTGGGGGTATTCTTCATCAATATAGCTAAGGGTGGCCATTCCGCGTTCTATACTATCCTGCCCTTTCTTGTCGGGCATCCTTTGCACATTTCTCTGGATTTGTACTGCTAGTTTGCATTTCTCTCTCCTTGAGGTATGTTCTGGAATACTTTCAAGGGGACACCCGATTTCAGGAAGGTCCGTAGTTTGCCTGATATTTTTGTTGCTTGGTGTATAAAGCTGCTTTTTTTTTAACCGCCCCAAAGCTAAGTTCTAAAATCTATTCTTCATGCGGTGATCTGGCATAATGAGGTACTTTTCTGCTTGTATTTGCAACTTGATATCTCTGCGTTCTCTCAGTGCCTGTGTTTTCCCAGCTTTCTCCATTTTTAATCTGGGGTTGATTTCATGCCTCCTGTGATAAATCTAAGCGGTTGATTTCGCTCTTTGTCCAACTCCTTTAATGTGGTTGTTAGGCTTGTGTTCTCCGCACTCTTCTTTTGGTAGTAAAACTTGGTCAACTTATTCGCACTAAGAAAAACAGCTAAACAGCTTTCACATGTGATGCCTAAGAAGAATACTTGGCATTAAGTGGCAGGAAAAGTTCACAAACAATGAGGGTATAGGAAAGAGAAGGTATTACAACAGTTTTCTCAATGCTCAGTCTCCGAAGGGTCAGGTGGCTGGTAGAGGCACTAAGGACATTCTCCATGGTGAATTACAGATGGGTAGAAGATGTCGAGGCTGGCTTCTACTGTGATACAAAGATGTGTGCAAGTGGGGTTATGAATGATACAGGTACTAAGGTAGATTCATGGAAATCACATGCTATGAACTGTGCTGAGTGGAGGGGGAAAATCAGGAAGGAAATGAGAATGAAGGATGAAATTACTGTAGAAAGATGAGAGCTGAGCGTCTCAGAAGAAACACACTAAATACATATGATAGCAATAACAGTCTGGAAATCCCATGCTCTTAGAGTGGAAGATATTTTCTTAGCTTGGGTGGGTCTCGCTAGTCACACCTTTCATTGCCTTGGGCTGTGTCCCATTCTTTATCAGCACAATATAACACTATTGTCTGGAAAGATAGAAAGATGCCAACAAATGGCAACAACATATATGGAGCAGATGAACAGTAAATTATGTACTGACATCATTAGTACATCAATCACACATGACTAACATCTAAGGAAACTGCTGAACGCAATGAAATTAAGTTAGGACACCTTACAACAGTTATATATGAAGCAGATGAACATTCTAAGGACATTGCTGAACACAATGAAATTAAGTTAGGACACATTACAACAGTTACATATGAAGCAGATGAACATTCTAAGGACATTGCTGAACACAATGAAATGGAGTTAGGACACCTTACAACAATTACATATGAAGCAGATGAACATATAAGAACATCTGCAATGAAATTAAGAGGCATTACAACAATTACATATGAAGCGCATCTGAAATTGCTGAACGCAATGAAATTGAGTTAGAACACCTAACAACAATTACATATGAAGCAGATGAACATCTAAGGACATTGCTGAACACAATGAAATTGAGTTAGGACACCTTACAACAATTACATATGAAGCAGATGAACATCTAAGGTCATTGCTGAACACAATAAAATTAAGTTAGGACACCTTACAACAATTACATATGAAGCAGATGAACATCTAAGGACATTGCTGAACACAATGAAATTAAGTTAGGACACCTTACAACAGTTACATATGAAGCAGATGAACATCTAAGGACATTGCTGAACACAATGAAATTGAGTAACATCTAAGGACATTGCTGAACACAGTGAAATTGAGTTGGGACACCTTACAACAATTACATATAAAGCAGATGAACATCTAAGGACATTGCTGAACACAATGAAATTAAGTTATGACACCTTACAGCAATTACATATGAAGCAGATGAACATCTAAGGACATTGCTGAACACAATGAAACTAAGTTACACCTTACAACAATTACATATGAAGCAGATGAACATCTAAGAACATTGCTGAACACAATGAAATTAAGTTTGGATACCTTACAACAGTTACATATGAAGCAGATGAACATCTAAGGACAAGAAGAAAATGTGGATGAGAATGACCAGGACATCCTACTCACGCTGCAGCACAGCCAAGGGACACAGATTGGACAGTCTGACCAGCATCAGATAGGTCAACATTTTGATGTCATAATGGTCTTTCAGCCCATCCTCCACATGGTTCAGAAACTCAAAGATGTCCAGCCGATCCAAGCATGAGTCCAGAAGAGTGTACATGCACTCAAACGCAGCCTGTGAGATCACAACAGTATGCTATATATAACTGCAAACACACAGACGGAAAGAAACATATGAGAGCAGACTATATGCTATTATTTTAAAAAATCCCTCAGCAGTTAGAAATTGAAAAAAACAATCATTTAAAATTACAATTATCATTATCATCATGTGCCCTGCCAAATGGCGTAGGCGCTCATGCGTCTCCACAGATCACGATCCCTGGTTGACTGCAACAACTCTCTTGCTGATATCCCTCCATGCCATCGTTTAGCCCATCCAGCATCATATCTCTTGGTCTACCTTTACCCCTTTTTCCACTGATCTTTCCAGTTGTCACGATGTTCTCTAATCTCATTATGTGGAAAAAGAACAGTGTTTTTCTCTTTCTTATTGTTGTATATAGAGATCTACTTTCATTAGCCTCTTTCAAGCAATCGTTGTAAGTTACTTTGGCCGTCCAAGGTATGCGTAACATTTGTCTCAGAAACCATATCTTTGTTGCTTCCAAATTCTTCTTAATTTGTTTACAATATCTACTTAAAAAACAACAATAACAGCACATCTGTGGTTGTGGTAGACACAGATGACAATGTTTATAATGCATTTGTAGTGTGCTAGTGTGCGTGCAGGAAGCTGAGGCTCTCCTTCTATGATCTATGGAAGCAGAATGAGGCACAACGATCTTTACTCTAGGTATACAGGTGTGTTTGGAAAGGAATAGGCAGACTGGCTGGCTCTGCACCATGGGTGGTGAACTGATGCATGACAAGCTGGTTGTAGACAAGGCCCTTTGAGAGCAGGGGAACAATGAGCAAGTACAAAGAGATAATTATGGTCTGGTGAGAATGGTTTAGCAGGTAGTGACCAGGGAATCTGGTCAACACTTTACACTCAGAAAAAAAAAGGGGGAGACAGACATATAATCAAACTGCAACTCTTTGCTGGCTGCTGAAGATGAGGATGGAGAGATTATGGCAATGTCCCAAGGGCATTCTTCCCAATACCAGACCCAAATTATTAAGTGTTAAAAAATAGTTAATATGTGTGTACATACATAAGCACGAACATACGTGTGTGCGTATATGTACATGTGTGTGTATTTATGTCTGGTAGTCTGGTAGTCTTAGTTTTCAGCTTCATAGCAAACAGGTAATCCCATCTTTGCTCCGCTCCTGTGCCAACGAAAAACACACAGAATGTTTATCACAGTATTAGAATTGCAGTTCATCATTGATGGTAGCAGAAGTCGCCAACAGATCAGCAGTTGCCCACGCGATAAATTGTAATCACATACGGGCACCACAACACTGCACGACAGGCATCGCGCCATTTTCTGAATCTACAATTCACACCAACACGTTGGTGACAGTAAAAAAAACACATTGAAAATGCAATCCACAGCTCACAGGGTCACGCCACGCATTCAACTCAGAAGCTGGGCGACGAAACTATATCCAGTCTACAAATGGAACAAAAATGCATCGGCCACCGTCCGGCAGAAGCAAAAAAAATTTGCTTCTGTTTCGAACAGTGCCGCTGCCTAACGTCCATTTTGTGTGTGAGTGTGTGTGTGTGGGGGGGGGGGGGGAGAGATAATTAACTGAAGGAAAGGTAATCAGGAAGTAAAATGACCCCCCCCCCCCCCCCCCCTCAGAGCTCATGCGTAATGGTCCAGAATATGCAAAGGCTAAGCCTTCACACTCTAGCTGTGGTATCTGCTATGAGACCACCTTTGCCCATTGTTGAAGAAAATAAGCAAGCATAAAGGGTTAAATTAAGGATGTACATAGTTCACACTGCAGTTACCATCAGCTAAAGAAACTATACCTTTCTGATGTCCAAACCATCATCTAGCGTGTGCTTGAAGGGCCCCATCTCCACTTCTCGAATCAGTTCTTTCTGCAGGTAGGCAAGAAATATAATGAGATAATTTACATGTACTTTTTGTATGTAGGCAAGAAATGTAATGAGATCATTTACATGTACTTTCTGCAGGTAGACAAGAAATGCAATGAGATCATTTACATGTACTTTCTGTATGTAGGCAAGAAATGTAATGAGATCATTTACAGGTAATTTCTGCAGGTAGAAAAGAAATTTAATGAGATACTTTAACATGTACTTTCTACAGGTAAAAAAAAAAGTAAGTAATGAATTTACAAAAACATGACTTACCCTAACTTTGGTTTCATTATACAAGTGTGGTAAAACATGACTTACACTAAATTTCATTTCATTATACATGTGTGGTAAAACATGACTTACCCAACTTTGGTTTCATTATACAAGTGTGGTAAAACATGACTTACACTAAATGTCATTTCATTATACATATGTGGTAAAACATGACTTACCCAACTTTGGTTTCATCAAACAAGTGTGGTAAAACATGAATTACCCTAAATTTCATTTCATTTCACAAGTGTGGTAAAACATGACTTACCCTAACTTTGGTTTCATTATACAAGTGTGGTAAAACAGTCTCCAACAAGTCTCTGATGAGCGACGGTTTGTTGTGAGCAGCCGAGTTGAATGTGACCAAGGCTACGCGTCGCAACTGTGAGGTCTTCATCCTGCAGGGTGCTTAGGAAGTCCCCAATGCACATCTTAAGTAATGGGTCGATTGGTTGTGGCTGAAACAAGCAAATTCCTAAAGTATGCATACAGCTTGAAGTATTGGTCTTCCCGTGTGGGTTTCAGAGCCCCACTGTGAGGAAAACAAGAACAGACACACTGCCTCCAACAAGCATGTCATAAGAGACGACTAATTGAGGGGCTCCATTTGATGTCAGAGTACATCTGCATGAGAGACAAGGAACCAACAATCTGCATACAAATAAGCAATATCTGAAAACGGATGTGCATGCAAAACTCAGGTTCTGGAACAAGACTAAAAGTCCAGGGGTGGGCAAATCAACCAGAACTTTCTACCAGAGTTTATAGCCAGTGAATGTCGAAAAGAAAAAATAACGGGTCTATTGGTTGTGGCTGAACCAAGCAAATCCCTAAAGAATACCTACTGCTTTCAGTCGGTGAAGGTTTCGTAATTCTGAAATACAGCCTTGATTACAGCCTGCTATTTCAGAGTTACAACTGGCAAGGAATTTGTTGTACACATGTAATGTGCACACAAAGTCTGCTCATTTTTCACCCTTACCTACTTTCTTGGCCATTATCTAGTATCCATTTTAGGCTGGGCCAACCTTGTAGCCAAGGTAAATTTGGAAAAATCTGACTCCATGAGGATTTCAACCCAAGACTTAGGAGATACAAGTATTCTAAGCATATTTCCTTGAGATTTATTTTACCTTGCACTAATACTGTTTTAAAATGTAGGTATACTCGGAGCACATTCCAGTGTTTGCAACTAAGACTTCAATTTTGCTTATGTTTATTATTATTATTATTATTATTATTATTATTATTATCAGCTAAACTGATCATGCATGAATGGAAAAATGTATGCAATGAGTGAGGTCAGAATGTAAGATGTGGCTGTGTGCCCAATTCTGAACCCTTTGAAAGTACAGTTTCTTCATTTGTACCTCCTGGCCTACTGATTTAAATGCAAGCGATCTAACCAGAATTACAAGGGCTCATTTCTTTTCCACATGCAACATTATGCTGCACAGAATTTGTAATCAAATATATTACAACAACACACGTGATGCACTAACTGAGATGTTGGGGCTAAAGGAGTCAGAGATAATGAACTGCCAGTTAGAAATGGGTGTGATCTTGTTGTTTGTCTACCACTTTGCCTTCAAACTAAAGGAGTCAGAGATGATGAACCACCTGTTCATAATGGACGTGGTTTTTTCTGTCCATCACAGGGGATAAAGACCACTTTACCTCCAAACTTAATAATGATAAAGATAATACAACTGGATGAAAATGACTTAAGCAATGACTGTTGTAGGGAAGAGAAAAAGATTTACAATTGGTCGACCTCACTTTCTCGTCTGCGTCCATTTTGATCCAGTGACAGGATGTGTCCATTTTGATCTTGTGTCAGGATGTGTCCATTTTGATCCCGTGTCAGAATGTGTCCATTTTGATCCAGTGTCAGGATGTGTCCATTTTGATCCAGTGTCAGGATGTGTCCATTTTGATCCAGTGTCAGGATGTGTCCATTTTGATCCAGTGTCAGGATGTGTCCATTTTGATCCTGTGTCAGGATGTGTCCATTTTGATCCAGTGTCAGGATGTGTCCATTTTGATCCCATGTCAGAATGTGTCCATTTTGATCCAGTGTCAGGATGTGTCCATTTTGATCCCGTGTCAGGATGTGTCCATTTTGATCCTGTGTCAGGATGTGTCCATTTTGATCCAGTGTCAGGATGTATCCATTTTGATCCAGTGTCAGGATGTGTCCATTTTGATCCAGTGTCAGGATTTGTCCATTTTGATCCAGTGTCAGGATGTGTCCATTTTGATCCAGTGTCAGGATGTGTCCATTTTGATCCAGTGTCAGGATGTATCCATTTTGATCCAGTGTCAGGATGTGTCCATTTTGATCCAGTGTCAGGATGTGTCCATTTTGATCCAGTGTCAGGATGTATCCATTTTGATCCAGTGTCAGGATGTGTCCATTTTGATCCAGTGTCAGGATGTGTCCATTTTGATCCAGTGTCAGGATGTGTCCATTTTGATCCAGTGTCAGGATGTGTCCATTTTGATCCAGTGTCAGGATGTGGCCATTTTGATCCAGTGCCAGGGTGTATCCATTTTGATCCAGTGTCAGGATGTGTCCATTTTGATCCAGTGTCAGGATGTGTCCATTTTGATCCGGTGTCAGGATGTGTCCATTTTGATCCAGTGTCAGGACAGCATTGAGATGACTGAAAACTGACTTAGGTGGAGTGGATGACCAAGAAGACGCTTTAAATGCTCTGCCTTGCTCAAAGCACCCCACAGAGTCCGCTGGTAATCGCCTTTTTGTCAGCTGAACCATAAGTGGTTTCATTCCGCGACATCCCGGATCGAGTCTTTACATGTAGGGTGGGCATGCCCTAACTCACAGATTGGTATTAAACAGATCTGCTACCTTCTCCTGGTTCAGCCAGCCCATCAAAGCTGTTTTCTAAGGTGGGGGGGGGGGGGGCCTGCTGTCGCATGCTGACAACAGTGTACTAGAAGCCATAAGAGAAAGCTGGGTGACAGACCTAGCCCAATGGTGGTAAACCACCCTGAAAAAGGCATGATGGTAATCTTGCCAGAAGTACTACTAGTATCTGACAATCCTAACTGGCTATTAAACCAGGACAAGCATGCAGAAACTGTTGACAGGAAAAAGAAAGAATATGTACCAGTTGACTGCCACTACCTGCAGTGAGAATGCAGACACTGAAATGGCTGCTACATCAGAGAAGTGAGCACAAATGGGTTGGACTGATGTGCTGGGATGTTGATCCAGATAACAAGTTCATATACTGCCTTGAAAGTACTGGTAAAAAATATTTGTTTCCAACATAACCTTTGAAACATTTAAAAAAAAAATAAAGGTGTAAAAGAGAAGTGAATGCTAAACGGTACCTGGTCAGATATGGTAAATTTGATTGCCGTTACCACCGTGCTCCGAGCCAGAGGGGAAGAGTCGTTCAGGTGCTGCCGCAGACTTCCTATTAGATTCTGGGGGTCAACGAGAGTCAGCTTGCCCATGCATTCAGAGACGACGTTGCGGGTTCCTTCTTCTGGACACTCACAATTGTGGAACAGCATAGTCCTGTAGGCAGTGAGAACACGGTTACCGTGGTGATTAATGTGTTTGGTTCCACCATACAGCTCATTCTCTCTACAGAGAGGCTGGTCCTCTGCACAGTAGAGACAACAGTTTTTTTTTTTTAATTTCAGCAATGATCACCAGGAAATCATTGGACTAATGTCACTAATTTTGCAGAACAAACAGGTAACAACTGACACCAAAATAAAACTATTCAATATTTTTTTTTTTTACCAACACTGTGTTACCATTGCCAAACTTGGACAATAACAGAAAAATAAAAATCTAAGCAACAGAAATGAAATTTATATGACGAATCCTAAATGTAAGCAGAAGAGAAAGGATAAAAAATGAAGACATCAGGAAAGAAGTTGGTGCAGAACCGGTACTTAACTACATCAAGAGATAACAGATCCACAAGTTTGGACATGTGTCAAGACTACCAGTGCCCCACAGAGTCCTTCCTGTAAATGTACTCAAGTACATCAAGAGATAACAGATCCACAAGTTTGGACATGTGTCAAGACTACCAGTGCCCCACATTGGACATGTGTCAAGACTACCAGTGCCCCACATTGGACATGTGTCAAGACTACCAGTGCCCCACATTGGACATGTGTCAAGACTACCAGTGCCCCACAGAGTCCTTCCTGTAAATGAGATATAATGGAATCACAACTAGAGGTCGACCGCGCAGGGCAATGGACAGACGGACTATCTGGGGCCGTAAATACAAGCATCTATACAGCACATACCAAAGCTTGTATGCAATGCCTCCTTCAAAACCTGACGCTGAAAGGCAAAACAGAACTAGAGCAGAAGAGGAACATCAGTGATGCCTCCCTCCCCTGGGCTCTTGTGGACAGAAAAATGCAATATATAGCGGTAATCCCATTATTTTATAGTCTAATCGAATCATACAAAGATAATGATCAATCTAAAGTGTTAAAGAGGTGAATTATCAAACAAACAGAAAAGCTTACCAGATGGTTTTCACATAAGACTTGAGTATTTCCAAGCCAGAAGTTGAACTGGATTCACAATTGATGATCTGTTGGGCACAAAATATTGAGATAAGTCATTTTACAGCCTTCACAATTATCCAATAAGATGTCAAATTAATTTTTTGTCTGAGACTGTGGTAGCGCAGTCACCTGACACTAGCCTGCTAGCCTGAAGGTTTTTGATTTGAATCCACACTGAGTCGAATAGTTTTCAAAAATTACTTAGGCACACAGTTCAATCCAGCCTAAAATCGTTACCTGGTAAAGTCCTGGGAAGTAAAGGCAGTCGGTGTGACACTGAGTCTATCATCAAATGCCTGATTCCCCACTAACATAAAAAAAAGGCCCTTAACTTACTAACACTGCTGTTTGCGGGCCCTAATGAGATCCTTGGAAACCAATCATCATCATCATGTGCAATGCCATCAAGCATAGACAGCCACAGTTTGACATCTCACAAATTTTTTTTTTTAAAATTGTCTCAACTGTTGCCTACATTAGCACATTTTAGGGCAGTGTAGAAAGGGATGGAAAAGGGGGTTGGGGGAGGGGAAGTGGAGTGCTCCGAGCGTAAGGATTTAGAGCCGCATGGCTAGCACTTTTTGTTTATTCTTGCTGTAACAGAAAAATCTTCCACCATATTATCAAGGGATTTGAGCCCAGTGTCTCCAGCATGAGAGCCCAGCATTATAACAACCCAGCCAGCTGCACCTCACCTGATCCCCAGATCAGGTCAGAGTTCTGTGCCACCCAAGCCATCTGAGATCTGGACTCTTGCTAGTGAAAAGATTCCCAGTTCTATGCTGAGATTTACACAGAATTATTCTATGTGCTCTTACGCCAAGTTAACCATCCAAGATAAAGTTAGGACACACTGTAGGAACAACACAGTGCAGCAACTTCATTGAGAAATATAAGATCAAATAGTCTGGTCACCTAGTAATAATGCAGCCAGAAAGAGAGAGAAACACAGAGTCTGTAACCTTTCAACACTCTCTCCTTTACTTACTTATTCATACATACACACTTCCCGTCCATGCTGTTGCAGGGAAAAAAAACACTTAATTTTTGCCCCCGACAGAAAAAAAAAAATTCACTTCACTTCATAGAAGATGTCATCCCTGGTTTCCTAAATTAAAATGCAATGTTCTTAACTAAGTAAAAAGTAAAAGTAAAGGACCCTTTTCCCCGCCTTTAGGCGTATAGGGCATATAGGGCTAGACCTATATTTTTATAGACCAACGGCACAAGATGGGTGATGTGGTCAGCATCACGCCGGCCGCCTTTACTTCCCGGGATTGCACCCGGTAGCCACTCAAGGCTGGGTTGACCTGGGAGACAAGGTCATTTTTGAAAAAAAGTCAGGCTCTGCCAGGGAGCGAACCCACGACCTTCCGATCCGCAGCGTGTGTCTAGCCACTCGGCCACGGCATGTCATGGTCTTAACTAGGTTCTATTAACTGCTTTTATCTACAACACAAGTAAAATAGTCTTAAACAATTTACTGAATATCAATATGAGCATGGCCAGATACAGTGAAACATGTGAAGTAATCTTCTCCTTGGTCCTGTTATCAAACTTGAGTTTTGTGCGCACATTTGCTTTACATAAGAGCTTATCTGTAAGCAGACTGTTGGTTTCTTGCCTCTCAGGCAGATGCATTTAAACCTAGAAGGAAACACCTGTGATTAGTCACCTATTGCAACATGCTTATTAGGGGTGCACTGGGTCATCCACCCCCCCCCCCCTCCCCAATCCACCCGCCTGCATACACACACATAATGGGGTCGGAATCCCCACGGGGAAGGGAGGCAATAAACTGTGTTATCTGTTGCTCGAAAAATGTGTTCGTTAATATTTGGTAAAATATAAATACCTCTTTCAGTGAATGTAACAGAAGATACTGTCGCTTAGGTTGATTTTCAATCTCCTGCAGGACAAATGGCAGAAACTTTGGCAGATTGCCAACACTGACATTCCCTGAGTGAAAGAAGAAAAAAAGAAAATCATGTTTTAGGTCATAGATGATACTTTTCAAACAAAATACTTCAAACCCTACCAGTAAAACAGGTGCTACAACTAGGTCCACACAGTAAAACCATAATTTCATGGCCCTGGCTGAAATAAATTCACGTAACGAGACAGCACAGACAATTAGATACGGCTCAAGACAGAAATCTCAAATGATGAACTCGGAAAAACAGGACTCATTCACCAATTTAATTAGCAATGTCAGGAAAGATGGTAGAACATACCAAAAAGATGTGAGATCAATGAGAAGCATTCAGAAATCTATAAATCAAATATTCAATGGTTCAAACTGTGTTTTCAAATACAGTGTGGCCATGTCTGCAATATCTTCTTCTTCTTCTCTTGTTCTGCCTTTCTATCCACCAATGGAGCATAGGCCCTCAACCAACTCACACCAAGTCGTTCTATCCTTCGCCATTGCATGGAGCTCTACCCATGTCGTCCCCATCTTTCTAACTTCATTCTCCAGCTCTCTTCTCCATGTGTTTTTTTGCCTTCCTTTATTCCTATGCCTCTGTGGGTTTCAATGCAAAGACATTCTAGTTATGCTGTTCTCCTGTTTTCTCAGTGTGTGTGCTATCTTTTCCTCACCTCTTGGTCCATTGGAACCTGTTTAGTTCTCTCCCAAAGCTCTACGTTATTTATTCTATCATACCATTCAATTCCCTCTTTTCTGCGCAGGCACCAGTTAATGAATGTCTGTAATTTATTAGTAATTGCCTTAGTTGTTCTCCATGTTTAAGCCCCATACAAAAGTACTGATTTGACATTAGAATTACAAATTGTTAGTTTAGTATTTCTTTTAATTTCTTTTGACCTCCACAAATTCCCTAGTGCTATGAAAGCTCCTCTTGCCTCTTGAATTCTTATTTTAATATCTCTATCAGTTCCTCCATCTTTATCTACATTACTGCCCAAATAGATGTATGACTCCATGTCCTGGAGTGGGGTGCCATTAAGAGAAACCACATTACTATTTGCCTGATTTATTCTCATTATCTTTGTCTTTCCTTTACGGATTTTCAGACCAAACTGCTGTGATCTAGCATCAAGTATATTTATAATTTATCTTGCATCTGATTCCGTTAATGGGACAGAAGAGAAATATCATCAGCGAAGTCCAGATCATCAAGCTGTTTTGTAGGGGTCTACTGAATTCCATTCCTGGTGTTAGCAGTTACTGTTTTCATAATCCAGTCTATAGCAGGTGAAAATAAGAGGGCGACAAAAGACTAAACCCTAGTAAATCAGTACTGACATGTCATGCATTGTCTCAGTGTGTGTGGTTTGCATATGTGACTACACAGAGGCAGGCAGATAAATTGACATATACTTTGGCAGCCAGGTAGACTCAGCGTATTTTTAAGAAACAAAAAATTTAAAATCTGACGCAGTAAATAAAACTGAGTACTGGGACAATTAGCCCCTTTCTTAAAGCATAAAGAAACATCTCATCCAAAGCATATTCACTCCCACCCTATGCTACCAGTGCCAGGCGTGGTCACTCACAACAATCCAGACAAGAAATTTAGTAACCACAGAAAGAGATTATGTCTGAGAAGGGCTGATCAGAAGAGATAAAATCAGGAATGAGGTTATAATAGAAAACAATCAGCACAGAATCAATTTTAAATTACACACAAAGAGCAAATCAAATGGTCTGCCCAGTTGGAGAGAATGCCTTGTGATGCCATACCATATAAGGACTTGACCAAAAGAGGATAAGGATGTAGAGCACAAGGTAATGCAAGAACAAGATGGAAAGAAATCAGAGTACAACAGCATCATGTGCTATGTTTAAAGCGACCAGAAGAACAAAAAGCAGAACCTTATGTTGTAAAAGAGTAATTGAAGAAAAAGAAGGCAGACAGCACAGGCAGTACAGACAGACAGACATCAATGCAAATCAGACTGTTCATACAATCATTCTGAGGCTAGTTCACATGACAACTAGTGAAGCCACATAGAACTTTCACAGCCATTCCTCATGTCAATACCTAATGCATAAGATGCTGCAGACTTGACCTCTTCATTTGGCGAAGAGAAACACTCCAGAATCACATTCTGAATGTCCCCATGAGGACTGAGGTCGCTGTGTGGAAGAGAGATTTTACAACAATATTAATTAAGTGTGTGTGGATAACAAAACATACGTTCTATGCCAAGCACACAAAAAATGTTTTTTAGTGAAGGGATGAGAACTGAGACATGGAGAAACATCATGACTGGAAGGGGCAGTGGTAAGTAGAAGAAACACAGCTAGACCCAGAGAAATGACGCCAGCTGCTTTTTGGAGAAGTGGGAAAGACCCAAGCAAGATAAACAAAACTTTAAAAAAACACAACAGTAACCCTTTCACCTAGAGACCCATGAAACAAACACTTCCTGCGGGTACCTTTTCCCCATATAAAAGCCACTTTCCTGAATCATTACTGAGACATGTTTATGAGATGTCTAGCTAACATAACACAGAGTATCAGGGGATGACTTAATTTACTACAAATTTTATTTAGCGGGTTTCAATTTTTTTTAAATCACTTTATTTATAGAAATTCCTAGATGATAATCTCCCACTGAAAATAGTTACTGGAAAACCAGGTCAAGTTGACTGTCCAGTGCATTTGTTTTTATTGATTACTTACTCTTACTGATTATCCTTACTCTGTATATCTTCTTCTTCACATTCACCGGCTGTAAACTCAGGCAGAAAGTTCTGGTAGGTTGTACACCTCCAGACTTTAGCCCCATCGCAGAATCTGAGTATTGTGTGCACATCTGTTTTACATATCTGGCTTGCATGTGTGTAGACTGTTGGTTCTTTCTTCTCAGGTAGATGCACTCTAACTTTGAAGGATGCTTGTGGTGGAGGCAGTGGCTCTATTCTTGTTTTTGCTCAACAATGGGGCCCCAGAACCCACATGGAGAACCCTACATATTGTTTGTGTTTTGATGATAAATTTCCCCGTGTGGGTTCCGTGGCCCAATTCTGGAGGAAAGAATAGACCCACTGCCTTGAGAAGAAAAGCACAGACAAAAGTAACGTTTCCTTGTGCTGTAATTCATGCAACTTAGTCGATAGATTATCTCCATTGCACATCAATCCATTCAGTACATAAACAAATCCTGCAGCATGTAGTGGCTGATGACACCATTCCTGTGTTGATATCTTATTCTTCTTGGTTTCCTGCATAGGGCTTTTTGTCTTGCCGCACCCCTTTTAACTTGCTGTTCTTGCAGTTTGGTCATGGTTACAAATCCTCAGTGACTTGGTTCTCACAAACGTGTTACTTCTTGCACAACATTCAGCATATCAGCTTGGTCCACAGCTCGTCTGCCATTTACAGTAGCCTTACACGATTGCCTATCAACCTCCTCATTTCCTTGCACAGAACAAAGATAAAACATCTCTAGAGTGGACTCACATGTTTTTGCCAATCTCTCCGAGGGCTAACAGAGAGAACAGAACAATATGCTCTGTGGACTTTGGGTTCTTGATGTCGCTGACAAACTGGGAAACAATGCTGGAAGCCTCAAGTGGGCTCATTTCTGTCAGGGCAGCAACACATCTGGCTATGGAGTGATACGCCTGCAAAAGTTAACAGAAGGCTATTCTGAATCTATTATTATTCACAATTGGGAAAAAAATTAATATCACATATGTGGTAACACTGTTTTCTTTACGTACGGGTTGCTAAAACAATTTAATGATGACAGACAGACATGACTATCAATGAATTGTGAATGTCTCAAATCTGCAAAGACTTAAATATAATCTGACACAAGAAATTTAAGACAACTGTTAACAAAAAATCAAAAAAATAACAATAAAAAAGAACTTAAAGAAATCGCTGTCTAAATCTGTAGAGAACCGAAAATACTGTCTACAGAAGAAATCTGGGACAACTGTAAAATTTATGCAGACTGTTTGTTCTTGACCTCTCAAGCAGATACACTCTGACTTTGAAGGAACACCGCTAATCAGTCGCTTGTTAGGAGAGCAGTCGGTCTACTCTTTATTCTGCAAAAGATAGTCCCAGCAACCACACAGGGAGTTTCATGATCTGACAGTTACAAGTATTGTCAGTCACAAGAACACAAACAGCAGTATTGTTGAGGTGTTCTGCAAGCAAGTTATCACTGATTATTTAGGCTGATGTCCCAAGGAGTACGTACAAGTAATTATCCTTACATATTTAATCCTTTTTGAGTTGTGGTGGTGTAGTGGCCAGATGCTTGCTTGCCTGCTTCTCATTCACCAGCTGTAAACTTTGGTGGAAAGTTCTGGTTGTTCATTCACTTCTGGACTTTAATCTTTTTTCCAGAACTTGAAGTTTTCTGTGCTATTCCATTCTACAGATCTGGCTTATTTTATGCGTACTGCTGGTTCCTCGGCCTCTCAGGCAGACGCACTTCCACTTTAAAGAAATACCCCTAATTAAGCGACTTTCAGAACATGCTTGTTAGAGGTGCAATGAATTTATTTCTTTTTTTTCTCCTCTACAATGGTGCTCCGGAGTCAGACTCAAATATGCATCAAGACAATTTTTTTTAAACTGTTCCTGGCATCCAGTTCAACCCAGCCCAAAACAGGGACATGATAATGTCCTAATAAAGTAAAGGTGGTTGGTGTGATGTTAACAATATCACCCACTGAGTGCCAATTGATCTATAAAAAATATGTATAGAATAATGAGAATGAAAAGGCACCCCCCCCCCCCCCCCCCCCACCAATTTAAATTATCCTTTTTATTTATTGATTGGGGAAATGCTGAAATCAGTTTTCTGTTCATGAGATGTTATGGTTTCTCCAAGACAATTTTACAGATGATGGACCTGTTTTTAAAAAAAAACATGTCTACATGAACATCTTCGTTTTCTTTTGTCCTTTTGCTTATGTCATGAAGCGACACTAACAGGAGTTAGATGTAGTTTTTCTGTCTTTGCTAGTTGTGTAGCTTGTGTTAATGTCCTACTGCTACATGAACATCATTACACTAAATATGAAAGCCAGGCAAAGGGCAGCAAGCTTACCTGTCTGTGGATGGACCCACTGGAAGGGCGGGTGTCATAGACTGGCATGATTAGCATCTATCAACAGAAAACAAATCAGTAACTGGCCATACAAATTAACAGACATAAATCCAATTTCAGAAATTCTGATTTTAAATTAACAGTAAATATCAAGACACTCTTTCTCATCTTGATCCTCTTATATCCTGCAGTGTCGAGGTGAAGTACAACTTACAGGAAAGTGTAAGTTTGTGGGCTTTGTAAATGGGGATTCCAGGGACTTTATTATTCCTTCTACCTACTGTTTGCACGTCTGGCCTCTGTTTGGCTTCCTGCCTGGTCTGTAGATCATTGCTTGCTGTATCAAGACTACAATGGTTAATCTAGTTCAAGCCAAGATTTGAGATGTGTTGAGTCAAGAACTGACACTCAGGACATTTCCAAACAGCAAGTACATTCCCATAAGTCATCTTCAGCAGCCTGCACAGAATTCCTATGCCTATGGTACCAGTGGCAGTTTGGGGATACGTCTGTCTTGCCTTTCTTCTGTAGTGTCGACCAGATCTGATGGTCATTTCATTCTCTGCACACCATGATAATCTAGTCACACTTCTGCATTGTTCACTTGTTCCAAAGAGCCTTAACCACACCTATCAAGTCACCACTCAGCAGCTGTGCAGCACCAGCTAATCTGCCTGTGCACTTCTAAAAATACACCCACATATGCTGCAGAAATATCTAAAGGAAGCTTACTATTGGTTGGGGGGGGGGGGGGAATACCAGCATCTTTTGTGTGCTTTTTCTAATGTGTTGTACAAGATGATCTTCATTTTCTTCTTCATAACTTTCACCGGCTGTAAACTCGGGCAGAAAGTTCTAATTATTTGTCCATTTCTGGACTTTAGCCTTGTTCCAGAACTTGAGTTTTGTGTGCACATCCGTTTTACACATGGTGCTCAAATGTACACAGACTGTTCTTCCATATCTCTTCGACTTCACAGGAAACTTTCCCAATTAGTCGCCTTGTACCACATGACTGTTAAGGAGGCAATGAGTCTTTTCTTCTGCTCCCCAGAATGGGGCCCTGGATCCTACACAGGACTACAATTCTTGACAGCCGTTCTTGACGTCATCTCTTAATCTCTTGTGTGGTCCTCCCCTCTATGTTCATTATATTTTTGTTCAGTGTGGTTCTCTGTGGCAGTTGGTATGAAGGCATTTTATTGTCAGATGGCCAAACTATTATATCTCTCTTTAATCAACGATATGACCTGTAGCAGATGTCTCCTAATTTCTTCATTGTTAAATTGTCTCTTTTCTTGTTACTCAGGCAGCCGTCCTAAAAGATCTCATCTCAACTCAACTGTTGATGGTTTGCAATCATTAGCTGTATGCTGCTGCTAGCACAGAGTTTGGCAAAACATAGCTCTTCTAATATTTGAACAGCTTTACTCACCTGTAATAAATCCCTGAATCCCAACTTTGGTAAATTCAGAGCAATAAGTGCTCGGAAAAACTCCAGCACAGCATTTAGAGCACCCCCTTGGAGCAGAGGAGACTGTACAAGGACCAAAATTTGTGGCAGAATGTCAGAATGTATGTTGGAGATTGAGTGTTTGTGGCCTCTGGAGATTGTTGTCAGTAGACTCAACGTCAGCTGCAAATAAACAGTACGTACATGCTTAACTACAGGATAACGTATGTACATGCTTAAGTAAAGAATAAAGTACGTACATTCTTAAGTAAAGGATAAAGTACGTACATTCTTAAGTAAAGGATAAAGTACGTACATGCTTAAGTAAAGGATAAAGTATGTACATTCTTAAGTAAAGGATAAAGTATGTACATTCTTAAGTAAAGGATAAAGTATGTACATTCTTAAGTAAAGGATAAAGTATGTACATGCTTAAGTAAAGGATAAAGTATGTACATTCTTAAGTAAAGGATAAAGTATGTACATGCTTAAGTAAAGGATAAAGTATGTACATGCTTAAGTAAAGTAAAGTATGTACATGCTTAAGTAAAGGATAAAGTATGTACATGCTTAAGTAAAGGATAAAGTATGTACATGCTTAAGTAAAGGATAAAGTATGTACATGCTTAAGTAAAGGATAAAGTATGTACATGCTTAAGTAAAGGATAAAGTATGTACATGCTTAAGTAAAGGATAAAGTATGTACATGCTTAAGTAAAGGATAAAGTATGTACATGCTTAAGTAAAGGATAAAGTATGTACATGCTTAAGTAAAGGATAAAGTATGTACATGCTTAAGTAAAGGATAAAGTACGTACATTCTTAAGTAAAGGATAAAGTACGTACATTCTCAAGTAAAGGATAAAGTATGTACATTCTTAACTAAAGAATAAAGTATGTACATTCTTAACTAAAGAATAAAGTACGTACATTCTCAAGTAAAGAATAAAATATGTACATTCTTAAGTAAAGAATAAAGTACGTACATTCTCAAGTAAAGAATGAAATGTGTACATTCTAAAGTAATATTAATTAAATATTTTTAAAGTTGTGCAAGAAATGAAAATATTAGAAGAACTAGGTTAGTTGCGTATCCTTTACAGGACATTGCAGAACCAACCCCAACAGCCCCTGGTTGTTGTGTAGTTTTTCTAGGAAAATTAGAAGAACTACGGTAACAATATTCACTGCTAAATTCACGGAGAAACAAAAACTGACATGGTTTGGCCAACTAGTGAGAACAAACCCTAGGATACCGCAGCAAAACTGTACAACATGAAAGTGGAAACATCAAGAGGGAGACCTAGAAGAATACATGGAACTGATCAGGATTAGAGTAACTTCCCTTGCCATTCATTCCTCCTTAGCTCATTGGACCTCTCCTTTGTTGCAGTGGTGTTATGATATGGTTATGATATAGTATGTAATGTTTGTGGGAGGTTGTGTTGTTGTGAGTCTATTTCAGGGAACAAAGATGCCTGTGCATATGTAAGAAATACTACAGGGGAAAGCACCTCAGTATGACGATTCTTGGCTGTTGAAACTGGGATGTTTTTCTATTTCTATGTTTGTTGGCGGTGGCTCGCGCCCAAGAAAAAGAAAGCAATTGCAAGGAGCATAGGAATAGAAAAATATTGCTGTTTTAATACTCACAAACAGTTGCAGAAGTAGCAGAATGTGAAAATACTACAGCAAGCGAGCAGTGAGAAGACGAGAAAAGAGGCAACGGTTATAGCGTTCAAAAAAAAAAAGACATGACTTCCCTGCAGCATAGGAGAGTTCCAATGACCTAAGGAGGCATGAATGGCAAGGGAAACTCTAATTCAGGGCCGCTTATCGTGACCTGTACCGAATATGGATTGACAGAGTCACTGACAGCCTAACATTTCACAACACATCAAGCAAGTAAGCAAAGCCCTAGTAGGTCTACTAACACTGTTAAAACACAGCAGATACCTATTAAAGAATAAGCAAATGAACAAACTTTATTTTCAAAGGGTCACAAATTGTGCACAGAGACTCCCTTACATTTGGCCCTTCCAAACATTTATCTACATTTGTATTTTATCTTTACAGCATGTATTGTTCATAATAACAAAACACGGATAGCATTAAAAAAAAATACCAAAAAAAATACAAGCCTTTAAAGTAAAAAAAGTAAAGGAGCTCTTTTTGGCCTGGGGTGCTGCACTGTGGTGATAGATTTATATTTCTGAAGACCAATCGGCAATCAATCAGTCAACAGCATTCACAACACGCAAATGTCTTACACAGATGTGGAAAAGAAGGGGAAACTATCACAGATGTTGGCTATACAAACATTAATGGGCTGTCACATAAATGATAACGATACATTGCTGTAACACGTTAATGAAATACAGTGGCAGTTGATGAACTCACTTGGGAAATGTGAAGGTCGTTTTCATTTATCAGAGGAGGCATTTCCTTCATCACATCAGCCAGCATGTTGCCAGTGACAGCGTTACCTGTGAGAGACAGACAGGGTAGACGGTCTACACACACAACCTATCAGCGTTACCTGTGAGAGACAGACAGGGCAGACGGTCTACACACACAACACAGTTCTTTCACATCATCACAACCTATCAGCATTACCTGTGAGAGACAGACAGGGCAGACGGTCTACACACACAACACAGTTCTTTCACATCATCACAACCTATCAGCATTACCTGTGAGAGACAGACAGGGCAGACGGTCTACACACACAACACAGTTCTTTCACATCATCACAACCTATCAGCATTACCTGTGAGAGACAGACAGGGCAGACGGTCTACACACACAACACAGTTCTTTCACATCATCACAACCTATCAGCATTACCTGTGAGAGACAGACAGGGCAGACAGTCTACACACACAACACAGTTCTTTCTTATCATCACAACCTATCAGCATTACCTGTGAGAGACAGACAGGGCAGACGGTCTACACACACAACCTGGTTCTTTCACATCACCACAACCTATCAGCATTACCTGTGAGAGACAGACAGGGCAGACGGTCTACACACACAACCTATCAGCATTACCTGTGAGAGACAGACAGGGCAGACGGTCTACACACACAACCTATCAGCATTACCTGTGAGAGACAGACAGGGCAGACGGTCTACACACACAACCTGGTTCTTTCACATCACCACAACCTATAAGCATTACCTGTGAGAGACAGGGCAGACGGTCTACACACACAACCTATCAGCGTTACCTGTGAGAGACAGACAGGGCAGACGGTCTACACACACAACCTGGTTCTTTCACATCACCACAACCTATATCCTTAAATGCACTTTATTCTTCAACACTCTGGTAGTTCTTTACTACACACTCTAGTTCTTCAACACACACACACTAGCTCTTCAATACACACATTAGTTCTTCAACATGCACCCTAGTTCTACAAAATGCACCTTAGTTCTTCAGTACCTGCATAGAGGCTCATCAGCGCATTTTCTGGATCTCACTGTCACTTTGATTATAAAGGCATCAGTATCTGGGTGTACTATAAGCCTACTTATTCTCACACTTTTCTTCTCCACATGTCCTCTCATCCCTCTTCCTCGAAGGACTTCCTTTCTTTCTCCCAGCTTTTTCTGTCTCCACAGCTGGACTTCTTCCGGCTTCAAGGAAATCCTGAACACATCTTATCTGCTGCTTTTCCCAATCACTATCTATCAGTCGTGCTGAGGCCCTCATTCCTAAGCCTAAATGACACAACAGACCTATCCTCAAACTTACCTACCAGAATCATCAAGGTGTCAATGACATGGAAGTGACAGCCATTATATCTAGCCCCTCCAGCGACACAGTCCGAAAGTCCCTTGAAAACTGCTTTATTTTCAACTTAGAGACACAAACACCTAGGGAACTGAACTGTCAACACAGTTTATTAAATATTTTTGAGTAAAAACCCTTGGCATTCCCTAGGTCTGTATTCTCAGGCCATACGTGTCTCCACATTCCACTGGCAAGACATCAATGTGGCTGCTTTGGGATAAATCTGTCAAGTGCTTTTATGTACTCGTGTGGTTTCGTTCGATTTATGTATGTACTGATGGAAACTCTGTAGCCGCAATGTCTGATTTTCATTTGTGTTCGTCGTATTGTGAAGCTTGCTGATCTACTTTTTGTTCGGTTTTATATCCTTCCTTCAGTACATGTTGCACTTCTTCAACACTCACCACAGTTGTTCAACACTCACCACAGTTGTTCAACACTCACCACAGTTGTTCAACACTCACCAAAGTGGTTCAACACTCACCACAGTTGTTCAACACTCACCACAGTTGTTCAACACTCACCACAGTTGTTCAACACTCACCACAGTTGTTCAACACTCACCAAAGTGGTTCAACACTCACCACAGTTGTTCAACACTCACCACAGTTGTTCAACACTCACCACAGTTGTTCAACACTCACCACAGTTGTTTAACACTCACCAAAGTGGTTCAACACTCACCACAGTTGTTCAACACTCACCACAGTTGTTCAACACTCACCACAGTTGTTCAACACTCACCACAGTTGTTCAACACTCACCACAGTTGTTCAACACTCACCACAGTTGTTTAACACTCACCACAGTTGTTTAACACTCACCACAGTTGTTCAACACTCACCACAGTTGTTCAACACTCACCACAGTTGTTTAACACTCACCACAGTTGTTTAACACTCACCACAGTTGTTTAACACTACCACAGTTGTTTAACACTCACCACAGTTGTTCAACACTCACCACAGTTGTTTAACACTCACCACAGTTGTTTAACACTCACCATAGTTGTTCAACACTCACCACAGTTGTTCAACACTCACCACAGTTGTTCAACACTCACCACAGTTGTTCAACACTCACCACAGTTGTTTAACACTCACCACAGTTGTTTAACACTCACCACAGTTGTTTAACACTCACCACAGTTGTTTAACACTCACCACAGTTGTTTAACACTCACCACAGTTGTTTAACACTACCACAGTTGTTTAACACTCACCACAGTTGTTCAACACTCACCACAGTTGTTTAACACTCACCACAGTTGTTTAACACTCACCATAGTTGTTCAACACTCACCACAGTTGTTCAACACTCACCACAGTTGTTCAACACTCACCACAGTTGTTCAACACTCACCACAGTTGTTTAACACTCACCACAGTTGTTTAACACTCACCACAGTTGTTTAACACTCACCACAGTTGTTCAACACTCACCACAGTTGTTCAACACTCACCACAGTTGTTTAACACTCACCACAGTTGTTCAACACTCACCACAGTTGTTTAACACTCACCACAGTTGTTTAACACTCACCACAGTTGTTTAACACTCACCACAGTTGTTTAACACTCACCACAGTTGTTTAACACTCACCACAGTTGTTCAACACTCACCACAGTTGTTTAACACTCACCACAGTTGTTTAACACTCACCACAGTTGTTCAACACTCACCACAGTTGTTCAACACTCACCACAGTTGTTCAACACTCACCACAGTTGTTCAACACTCACCACAGTTGTTCAACACTCACCATAGTTGTTTAACACTCACCACAGTTGTTCAACACTCACCATAGTTGTTTAACACTCACCATAGTTCTTCACAATCACATCCAGACACTGCAGAGTACTCAGCTTCAGAGCTCGTTGGTTTTTCCTCAGAAATGAAGCCAGAATTGGAAAGCCTTCCTCCTGATAACAAGATAGATGTAGTTAGTGATCAATTTATGCAGACTGCAAGTAACAATCACACAACATAAAGTTTAAAAAAAACACACATTAATAATCTCACAACTGCTACTTTAACATTTTTTTATTCTTCTCATCGTTTACTGGCTGTAAACTCCAACTGAAAGTTCTGGTTGTTAGTCCACTTCCAGACTTTAGCCTTGTTCTAGAACTTGAGTTTTGCGTGCACATCTGTTTTATGGATCTGGCTGATTTGTATGCAAAATTGTTGGTTCCTCGCATCTCAGGCAGATGCACTTCAATTTCAAAAGACACACTCCTGAATAGTCGACTTTTACGACAAGCTTGTTACGAAGGCAGTGGGTCTATACTTTCTTTATCCATAATGAGGCTCCGAAATCCACTTTGGGACTACATATTCAATGATTATGCTCAGAACGGTCGAGGTCGGCTTGGCTCAAACAATCTGGTTGGTCGTGGCTGACAAAAATCAGAACCATCGTAGTGGATGGTCGAGCAATGGACCAGGCTGACATACTGAATAAAAAGAGGCTAGACCATGCCTCAGACGTAATGGGCATTTACACACAGACCTATATTTTACGGGTCAATTGACTATCAGAGAGTGATGTAATCACCACCATGTTCTCCACCTTTACTTCCTAGGAATTTACCTAGTATTCATTTAAGGCAGTATCGACCTGGGAGCCAGGGTCACTTTTTTTTAAAAGTCTGGCTCTGTTCCGGTTTGAACCCATGACCTTCAGATCCAAAGGGAAGCATCTAGCATGGTGACTACC